AGGTGGTGGAGCACAGGGTGCTCCTCATGGACATCAACAACCAAACCATGTTCCAGGTAATGCCCACACACATGGCACGGTGGAGTGTCTGTGGTGCAGGGCAGTAGGGATGGCACCCAGGCCAAGGTGCCGGTGCTTGCTCAGAGAAGATGCTTCAAATATGAGCTTGCCCAAGAAGCTTGATGGGGAAAGAGTCCTGGGACCTCCTTCTTAGGGATTCTCACACCCAGCAGCTCTCCCTTCCCACATTGTCACTGCCTCCTCTTTTTCTCCAACAGGATGAAAACAGCAGCCACATCCTGGGAGACAGGGTAGTCAGCATCTCCCTGGTGGACACGGTGGTAGCCAACCTCTCTGACCCAGTGGTCCTCACTTTCTACCATGACCAGCTGCCGGTAGGTGGGGACACAGCCTCGTTGAACCTGATCCCACCAGGAATGGAGGGGCAAAAAGGGCTCAGGCCCTGCCAGCTTGGAGAATGGGCACAATCCAGCAGGTCCATGCCCTTGGCCTGCCTGTGCAGGGTCTGCTGTGTCTTTTGGGGCTGCCTCATGATCACAGCTTCACTGTGTGCATTGGGGGTGGCACTGCCTCCACCTGTCCAGGAGATGCTGCATGGCAGATGTGTCACCTCCAGCACAGTCTCCAAGGCTGGGAAACACGCTCAGTTAACAATCCTTTGACTCATTCATGGCCCTATCAGGTGCCTGCTCAAAGCTGAACCCCTTGTTTGGAAAAGGGGACCTGGAAGGAGGTATCTGCTCCATCAGGTGCCTGGAGCCTTCTCATATTATAGGGGTTGGTTTGTCTCCTGAGATTGTCTTGCCTCCTGCCCCATGTTCTCTCCTATCATATGTGCTGGCAACAAACCCACAGCTGCATCCTGACCAGGGCCCATGGTTTTGTCATTGCAGAGGAATGTGACCCCACTGTGTGTCTTCTGGCAGGAGGACATCACTGGTGAGTGCCCCTGCCCTTGGGTGTGAAGCCAGGCACTGCCTTTGCCCCTTTTGCAAGGTACCACAGCCCTGCTGGTAAGAGTGCAGCTTGCTTTGCACCTCCCTTCCTTGCTCCAGCTCCACAAACCATTCCCACAGGGTTGATGTCAGGTTTTTCCCTCCATAGCTAACCTAAGTGCTTTCCCCTTCCCTAGGAATGGGTTCTGGTGCTGAGTGGGCTATCTGAGTACATGTGCATGGCCTGGGACAAGCTGGGACCCCTCATCCTTGTCCTGCCTCTTTCCTTGCCCTAAAGATCCGTGAACCCGAGGCAGACGTTCCTGCTGCTCACCAGACACTCTCCCTTTCTCCTGCACAGCTGCTTCTGGGAGCTGGGACAGCTACGGTTGTACAACAGTGACAGGGAGCAGCCAGACCGAGTGCAGGTGCAACCACCTCACCTACTTTGCTGTGCTGATGGTGGGTAGCACCTTCCCACAGCTCTCTACATTGTTCCCACTGGCTGTTCTTCCTCACCGTCTCTCCTTCCTCCTTCTCCTCAGGTATCCTCCCCAGAGATCACCTACGTGCACAGGCATTACCTGAGTATCATAACCTACATCGGGTGCCTGATCTCAGCTTTGGCGTCCATTTGCACCATCGTCTTCCTCTACTTCAGGTACAGTCTGATGGTTCACCCCACGTTCCCTGTCTGTGTCCTGTCCCTTGTCATGAACCCCTGGCGGGGCACAAGCTCTCTAAGTGCAGCTGATGGCCTGGCTGGAAGCATGATGAAGGAGCCAGGCCTGAAGAAAGCAGAGTTCTCCTCCCCAGAAACCGCACCCTTGGTCAGGCTTCCTGCAGGGTGCTCAGAAACACTTCTCTTTTCAATGATTTTGGAAAATCTGCTTGGTTGTTGTTATGGACCCAGCAAGCAGAAGCCTGCAAAGATCTTTTCAAGGACCCATGTGAAGCTGTGGGGTGTTGTGGGGCACCAAGGGCCGGGCCAGGCATGGTGGTGAGGTCTGCACCCTTCTATTCTCCAGAAGCAAACAGCGAGACCAGATCACGAGCATGCACATCCACATGAACCTGCTGGGTGCCATCTTCCTCCTGGATATGACCTTCCTCATCTCCGAGCACTTGGCTTCCAGCAGCAGCGAGGCAGTCTGCAGAGCTGGGGGGCTGTTTCTGCACTTCTCCCTTCTCAGCTGCCTCACCTGGATGGGCATCGAGGGCTACAACCTCTACCGGCTTGTGATCGAAGTCTTCAACGCCTACCATGACCACTTCCTCCTCAAGCTCTGCCTGGTGGGCTGGGGTGAGCACAGGGGAGGCAGAGACACCCCCAGGGCACAGGGTGGAGGGGCACTTGGGTATGGAATGCCTGGATGGGGATGGAGACATAGCTGTGTGGGAGCAGATGTCTGAAAGCAGAGGGGTGGAGAAGGGGACTCAATGGCTGAGAGCAGAAGCTGGTGCTAGAGCAAGGGTGTCACCCAGCAAGAGAGATGTGAGAGCCACCACTTGGGGTCTTTAAATAGTAATGGGATCCTCTGTTTCTGAAAAAAAACACCCAGGGCAGCCCAGAGAGGTGGGCTGGATGCAGGAAGCACCCACACATCTCTGCTGTGCTTTGGGCAGGAAGCTGTGGGAGGAAGATCTCATGACCTTTTGTGGGCTAAAGTTCCACATCCCTGGGAGACCCCTGGTTGGGGTCAGCACAGCACAGCCCACTCCCAGGCCAGGGCTTAAGCCAGGCATCTTTGTTGCCTGCTCTGCCCTCAGTGCCCTGTTGGGAGGGAGGATGTTGGTTTGTATTCTACACAGGGAGAAAGGGGCAACAAGTCCTCCCAGAAGGGCAGCCACTTCACTCTGCTCTTGCCACCCAGGATTCCCATTCCTCTGTGTGTCACTGATCTTCCTGGCTAACTGGACAAACTACGGCCCCTTCTCCGTCCCCGTCTATGAATCCATCGATGGCAAATCCACCAGCGCAACCATGTAAGTCGTGGGAAATGCCTTGCCTGGTTTCTGGTCACAGGTGAAGTCAACTGGCTGAACCTTCACTGTGTCCTGCAGACTTCCCTTGGCCCCCGTATGGCTTTTCTGGGGCTTTGTGCCAGGGTGTGGTGGGGGATCCCCCCACCCTGGGCACTGGGTTGGCACCACACCTTCGTGCTTCCCCCAGACCCTCCCAGCTCATGTCCCTGTGTGATGACACAGCATAACCCTCTGCCCTTTCTCCTCCCTCCAGCTGCTGGATCACGAGCCCCCTGATCCATAACATCGTGAACCTGGGTTTCTTCAGCCTGGTGTTCCTCTTTAACTCGGTCATGCTGGGGGCCATGGTCCGGGAGATCCTCCGCCAGAACAAGAAAGGCCACAAGCTCAAGCACGTCCTGGCCCTCTTTGGGCTGAGCATCCTGCTGGGCATTCCCTGGGCACTGATCTTCTTCTCCTTCACCTCTGGTGTCTTCTGCCTTGTCTCCCTCTACATCTTCACCATCATCAACTCCCTCCAAGGTGAGCCTGGGACACTGGGCTCCTCCGAAGGGCACCGGGGTTTTCGTGGGGTGTTGGTGGGATGGTGATGAGGCGTGGGAGGAGCCCTGGCAGGCTGGGGCGGCTCGCTCTCAGCTGCTGTTGGTGCCTTGTGGGGGTTCACCCACCCTTCCTCTCCCCTCTCGCAGGTTTCCTCATCTTCCTCTGGTACTGGACCATGGTGCTGCAGGCGAGGAAGTCCCCCGACTCGCAGTGCAGCTCCGACAGCGTCAAGCTGCAGCCCAACAGCAGCCACGTTGGCTGAGCCCCGCGGTGGCCGTGCCGTGCCGGGGCTCCCTGCGCCAAGGACGGCCACGGGAAGGACTGACTCCACCTGCTTTGCTACTGCACCCGCCCCGTAGGGCTGTGAGGAGCCCAGGGACCTGCAGCGGGACCAGCCGCCCCTTGCCTCTGCCAGCCCCCTCCCCAATTTTCCCACCCACTGCATCCTGACTGGCTTGGCATCTTTGGGGCAGAAAGGAGGGAGGGATATTCACTTGGGCGGTGGGGGCTGCAAAAAGTGGAAGGGGCCTCTGGACATCCTCTCCCATGCCCTGAGGCCAGGGATGATGGCTGGGAAAGGCCCCATCTTCAGCCCTTGCTGGTGGTCACCATGAGGGTCCTTCCCCAGGGAAGACAGAATGACTCTGCCCCTGCCACACCCTCTGGCAGCTGGAATAATCTATTTTTGTTATTTTGTTGAATGTCTATTTTTGGATGGTGTAGGAGTTTAGTGAGCATGCCTGCACACCGGACTTGTGCCCATTAAAGTTGTTCCTCTCACAGTGTGGCTTCCTGGGGTCTCTGCCTGGTGCGTTGGTGGGCTCTCCAGTGGGATCTATCCCTCAGCTGAGGTTGTCCCATTCCCAAGGCAGGACTTGGCATTTCAGCCTGTAGGATCCTTCTGAGCTGGGACAGGTAATTTTGCTCCTGGCAGAGCACTGGCTGCCTGGTGCCATAGGGGTTGGCGTGATAGAGGGAGATGCCAATGGCCTGGGAATCCAGGGACCATCACTACCCAGAAAAGGAGGCTGGTGGAAGACAGAGATATAAAGAGGGAGACTTCACAGGACAAGAGTTGCCTCCTTCAGTGGCTGTGGGGCCAGGCAGAACCTGGCTGTCCTGGCTGTGCTGCTTGCAAGTGCAGCACCGCATCTCCTGTTCAACCATTTCCCCTTCCAGAGGGTGCTCTGGCTGCAGCTCATCCCCCTCCACTCGGCTTCCAGCACTCACCTGGGGCAGGGACACCTTCCCAGGAAGGGGATGCTTCATCCCAGCAGCTTGTGGTGATGCCCAGTTTAGGAGGGGGATGCTCCAGCATGTCACTGGGCTGGTGGGTGCCATCGACCCCTTGGCAGGTCTGGGGAGAGAAAGGAAAAGCAAAAAGCCCCACGTCAGAGAGCGGAAGGAGCCAAGAGGGAAATGCTGCAGCTCTGACAGTTGTCACTGTTGCTGTGAGCCAGGGCAGGAGGTCCCTTGCCAGCCCACAGGAAGGCGTGAGGGGTTCTCAGAAAGGAAATGAAGACACGGCCCTGTTGCCTCAGGAGTGGCCATAAGCCCCGGCAGAGCCTGGGAAGGAGCTGAGCTGCTGAGACAAGGGGACTGGAGTGAGGTGGGACAGCCAGGGGTGGTCAGGAGACCCCACAAAGCAGCATGAACCTGTTCCTGGGTACCATCCTGCTGCTCCTGATGCCGCCTGGTGAGTGATGGGTGAGGGGGGGACAGACATCCTCGGTGTGGGGGGTGCCATGGGCTTGAGGGGAAGGTTTTCACATGGGAAGGTGTTGACCCAAAGACCATGGTGGGGTGTTTCACCCTGAAAAGTGGACAGGCCAGAAGGACAATCCCTGCTGGGATGTGCAGAACTGGCAGAGGCAAGTGGAACTGGGGGGTTTGCTGCTGGGGCATTTTTTAAAATCTGGAACCAGCAGCCCAGGGTCTCTTCTACAATCCCTCCTGGGGGGAGCTGGACACAGTGGTTTTGTCCTCACCAGCCCTGGGTGTTTTTGAAGCCCGTGTAACTGCAGAGCTGTTCCTTTCAAACCTGGTAGCTGTCAGATTCTCCTGCCTCCCCTTCCCTTGGGCAGGGAGGGGGGCAAGGGGAGGACTCACCCTAGATTTTGGGGTTTTCCCTCCATTTCTTCACGTACTCTTCTTCCAGATGTTGCCAGGGGAAATGAGCGCTGTTCCGGTGAGTGGTGTCCCCCATCCCCACCCTCACCCCAGTGCCCACCCAGTGCCGTGGTGCCTGGTGGTCACCCTGCTCCCATCCTCCCCAGCTCTGGGGCGGGGTGATGATTCCCTCTCGTGCTGCAACGTGACAGTGGATCCGAAGAAACGGGGCCGTGGGTTTGGTATCCTCCAGCTGCCCCAGCGCTGCCCGGAGCTGGGGCGCTCCTACAGCTCCGCCTGTGCCTGCCTGCGGGATCGCTGGTTCAGGTAGCAGCAGGGCTGGCCATGGCAGGGTCTGGGGGCTCAGCTCCTTGCATCCACTAGTCCCACAGCCCCGCTGTCCCGCAGGGAGGTGCAGGGGCTGCACAGTCGGCTGGTCGGGCTCAAGAAGCTGCTCCTGAATGTCAGCAGGGCTGCTGTCCGTGATGTCCTCATCACCTTTTCCCCCACGGAGGTGAGATGTGCCCTTCCCTCTCCCTCACTTGGGAGGTCCCACACCTTACAAGCATCCCTTTTCCAAGCATCCCTTGGCCCCTGCCCTGGGGTGTGGTGTGCCCTGCTGTGCTCTTCCTCCACTCTGTTCTGGGGTTGCATCATGGACCCACATCAATTTTAACATCCCTTGGCAAGGAGTCACATGAAATGGTGCTTGGGAGGAAAGATCCCTCCCTGAGAGCCGTTCCAGCAGACATGGGTGGTCACAGGGAGAGTAAGGTAGGAAAGGAGGAGGAACGTGTGTGACTTTGGGCCTCCTGCCCCCCCCCAGGCTCTCCCAGCTATGGATGTCCCACAAATGGGTGATAATGGGTTGAGGACCTTGTGGGTCCCACTCCCAGCTCTGCCTCTAGCTGCTGGGGATGAGTTTCTCTCCTGCCCTCAGACAGGGCTTCTGGCTGAATTTGGTGGGTCCCAAGCAGAGAAGTGACCTGCCAGCAACAACCTCTCACTGTTCTTCTCCGCCTCAGGGCCCCACCACACTGAACACCACAGAGAAGGGGAAGGCAGGAAAAATCCATCTCCCCAGGGAGATATTTCGGTCTCTGAGTAGCCAGATAGTGCATGTGGTGGTGACAGTTCTCAACATCCAGCAGCTTGGCATGTTCAAGGTATGAGCTGGCACTGCTGGCACCCTTCCTGCTGCTGCTGGCACTCACTACACACCAGCTCAGCTCAGGCAACGTTGCCCCCATGCAGGAAGTCAACCAGGCAGGGCAGGTCCTGGACAACACTGTGGTGGGCATCACAGTGGGAAACACCAGCATCTCCGGGCTGCGGGACCCCGTGCAGCTCACCTTCACCCACAGGCAGCTGCCCCGTGTAAGTCAGCCCTGCCTGCCCTCCACCTCTTCTCCAGTGCCCCTCACTGTGGCATCAGTTGATGCTGCTGTCCCTTTTGGTAGGATGTCACCCCGCAGTGTGTCTTCTGGGATCCCAGCAAAGGTACAGTCCTCGGCAGGGCCGGGTGTGTGGGGCTGTGCTCAGTGCTCTCCGTTGTCACTCCTTTCCTGTTGCAGGGCAGGCAGGAGGCTGGCACAGCAGTGGATGTGTCACACAGCCTGGGGACCAGAAGACAGTCTGCTCCTGTGACCATCTCACCTTCTTCACCCTCCTCCTGGTGATGATCCCACTCCCCACAGCTCCTGCTTGTGCCCTGACAGTGCTGCCCGCCTGCTTTGGTGGCCCCTCCGGTGTCATGAGTAGCCACACAGGGATAGTTATAGCTGTTTCCAGGCAAGCCCAGGTCCCAAACACAAGCCCAGCCCCAGCTCAGGAGGGCAGCGGGAGGTCAGCAGAGCAGGACAGCCCAGAAAAGGCCCCAGCCTAATGCAGGCTCTGGAGCAGCAAGGCTTAAGATCCCATATCCTGGTGAAGTCTCCCAGGAGGGTGGTCATGGTGGTCCCCTTCACTCACTCCTCACCACACCTTGGGGAGCATCTCCTCTGAGCCACCACTGCCTTGCTCCCCCGAAGACCTTTTGCTGGCCAGACAGGGGGTTTGTATGGGGTCTCTGCAGCAGTCCACCGGGTTTATCAGCCCCGTGGCTCTGGTAGCTGCAGTTGGGTTTTCTAGGCTGGTCTGGGGCCTTTCTAACGTAACATGTGCATGTTTGGCAGAACCCAGCTCTGGACAGCCCCACAGCACAAGCCTTGATGGCTGTTGCCACCGCTGGCTGTGGGGTAGCCATGGCTTTTTCCATCTTCACCATCGCCTTCTGCCTCTTCATAAGGTAGGATGTGCCAGCAGCTCCACGGGGACTTGTCAAGCTGGGAGAGATGTGGGGCAATTCTGGTGCCTCTGCGTGGATCTGCTGTGATGCAGCAGGAGGCCCTGCTCATCTGTGACCTCTACCTTTCCTGGTTCCTCTGGGAACACTCAGGTGCAGGTTTGGGTTTGAGGAGACCGTGCGCATCAACCTGGGGCTGCACATGAACCTCGTGGGCAGCCTGTTCCTCCTCAACCTGGCCTTCCTGCTCAACAGTGGGCTCTCTGGGAGGACCCAGCCGGGGACCTGTAAGGTCCTGGGGGGGCTCACCCACTACTGCCTGCTCTGCTGCTTCACCTGGACGGCGCTGGAGGGTTGTCAGCTCTACCTCCTCTTCGTCAAGGTCCTTGGTGTCTACATCCACCACTACCTGGCGAAGCTGTGCCTGCTTGGCTGGGGTGAGCACTGCCAGCCTGGGGGCGAACTTAGGGGAGAGGGGGGCACTAGGAGGTTTAGATTGGATAGTAAGAAAGATTTCTTCACTGAAAGGGTAGTCAGGTACTGGAACAGGCTGCCCTGGGCAATGGTGGAGTCACCATCCCTGGAAGTGTTCAAAAGATGTGTGGGTGTGGCACCTGGGGACATGCTTTGGTGGTGAATATGGCAGTGCTGGAGTAATGGTTGCACTCGATGATCTTAGAGGTCCTTTCCAACCTAAACAATTCTGTGATTCTGTGTGTCTCCCTTTTTCCAGGCTTGCCCATTCTCATGGTGGGAGTGGCAGGAGCTATCGGCAGCTACGGAGAGTACAGCATCCAGACCACGGACCACCAGGTCATAGCCCACCTGTGCGTGCACCACTGCCCACAGGGCTCAGGTGGCCCTTTGGCACAGGGATTGGTAGCCCAGTCCTGCTGGGAGTGCAGCAGTCAGGGATTGCATCTATCCAGCTTGGCTTTATGCCATGCTTCTGCTTCCTTAATTGTGATTACAACATATCCACCACCCCCACCCCCACCTGTCATGCTGAGCTTCCTTGGCCATGCCTGCAGCCCTCCAGGTCATGGAGGGATGTCCAAGGTCCCTCTGGAGCTTCCCCAGGATCCCTCCCAGCTGAGCAACACGAGGGCAGTGGATATGGACCACTGTCCCCTTGCTTCATCCTGGCCTTGGAAAACTCCCCCAGCACAAGTGTCCCTGCATTCCTGAAACATCCCTATGTGGAGGCTCCCATGAGTGCTTCTGGGGCTTGCAGGGCCACTGGAGGCACTGTGGTTGTCTCTTTTCAGGTGCTGGATCACTTCCAAACATGTCCTGCTCCACTACATCACCAACTGTGGCTACTTCAGCCTCATATTCCTCTTCAACATGGTTCTCTTTGGGGTGGTGACCCAGAAGAGCTGCAGCTTGCAGGGCACAGGGGCAGTGCAGGGAGGCCGTAAGCCCTGGAAGGTGGCCCTAGTGGCAGCAGGGCTCTTCTGCCTGCTGGGAGCCACCTGGGCCCTGGCATTCCTCACCCATGGCATCTCCTCTGCGCCCGTGCTCTACTTCTTCACCATCCTCAACTCTCTCCAAGGTCAGTGCTGCCTCTGAGCTGGGTTCCCTGAGCTCAGGTGGGGAAGATGGAGGAGGCAGGAGCCTGGTAGTGGGTTGACTAGGGGTGCCAAGGCACCAGCATCTTCCCAGCACTGACTGGCAGGCCATGTCAAGCAGCAGGTCCCAGCCACCAGCATGGAGATGCTCATGCTTCCAACCACATCCACTCCACAGGGGATATTTTCCTCCAAGAAAGTCATTCCTTGGCAGAGGGTTAGGGACATTTGGCATGTCCCAGCCAAATGGCCCACCTGAAGTATGGGGGGCAGGAGTGAGCTGGGAGAATTCCCTGGAAGCAGCAGGGAAATGCTGTCAGCATCCTGGCAAGATGCTTCCCACCATCTCCTGCTGCTGCTGAGTGTTTGTATTCCTTTCCCTTCAGGAATCTTCATATTCATCTGGCTGGTCATCCTCTACTACCCAAAGACGAAGGAGACCACTGGCTCCCTATCCCACATCATCAGACATGACAAAAACACCACAGTCTCCCAGGAGTAGCTCCTGGCTGGACCTCTCTTCCTGCCTGTGTGTGCATCCACTGAGAGCAATCTTTGATCCTGGCAGATGCAGCTTCCCCACGGAGGGAGGAATCAGTTTGCCACACCCGAGTTTGTCCTTCAGTGGGCATGATCCACCTCAGCAGGGCTCTTTGCTTTGGCTCTTCCATTCCTGGTGGCCTGCCTTGGGCAAGGAGCTTCAGAGATGACCCTTCCACTGAAGTCCCTCCAGGCTGAAGTTCTGTGGTCTTGAAGTGCCCCTGATCTTATCCCCCAAAGGGCTATTGAAGGCATGAGGAGGGAGCCCATGAACCGCCCACCTTCAGCTGTGATGGAGCCATCCTCCTCTTCACTAGAGATGGCCTTTGGTGCTGAACCAGCCCAGCAATGGCTTTCCTGCCGTTGGAAGGAGAGGAATGACTCGCTCCAGACATGGGAGGTTCAGGTCTGGGAGCCAGCAAAAAAAAGAGAAATCCCATGAGTTTCTTGGCAATACATCTCCTGCTCTCTGGCAGGGATCTCCTGGGTGTGTTTCCTGAAAAACACCTGCAGGGGCCAACAACGATTCCTGCATGGATGCTCTGCTTCAGCTGAAAGCTCACACACAGCCACCTTGCAGAGCAACTGCTTGTCTTCTCCTGATCCACGTTTCAGTATTAAATCCCTGCCAGCTCTCTGAGCACTGTGGATTTAGTCTTTGACACCTACAGTATTGTTTGTTATTTGCTTTATACTTAGGATGTATCAATAGGCAGAAACCTTGTTGGCAATTTGTCATGGATGAAGGGAGAAATCAGTGTGGATAGATGCACACATGGGTATGCATGCACAGAGCAATCCTTTCTCTGCTAGCACTACATCTGTGTCACACAGAACCACACAAAGACCAGCTTTGGTGGGCAACTACCTAGTGTGGGGATACCTCCATCACCCCCCTTCCCCAGAGGGTGACTCTCTGGGGAAGAGGAACACAGGAAGAAAGACCCTCCCAGCCCAGGGTACATGCTTTGAGTTTAGAGAGCCTGGGCCCAGAGGGAAGGAGAAGGTCCTGGGGATGCTACAGGGAACGGAAACACTCTGATGTGCCTCAACCTTCACGCACTGTTTGCGTCCAACCATCATTTCCTTCCCCCCCAAACCCATAAAGAGGCAGGCAAGAGGCTCTCTGCCACTGTCACATTTATTTGGAAACAGCTGTTTCCTAACCCGTTCGCCGCCCCACGCTGACGGCCGCCGCAGCCACGGTGAGCACACCGAGCACACACAGCAGGACGAGGGCCCCGGGCAGCCACGGGCTGGGTCCTGCCAAAGAGGAGAGAGACTCGTGACATACCTGGGTCCCCCGAGCCAGCTCTGAGCCCCAGCGCAGCATCTCCTGGCTGGGGACGGATTTGGGGGAGGTCACCTCCTGTGCAGGGCAGCAGCCACTGGAGCTGGGGGTACTTCGGAATCCTGAGGGCACTAAAAGGACTCAGTCACCCCAAATGGTCTCCACCCAGCCCTGCTGCCCAAGGGCTCAGCATTCATGCCTGGTCTGATCTGTGCTGTAGGTGGGCTTGTTCCCAACCCTGGTCCTGGACTGCTGCTTGGATATCCTGGATTGCCCTTGCTGCTCAGGAGGAGCCTGCCTTGCTGGGCTGATGATGCAGAGGTCCAGTGTGAAGACCCAGCCTTCCCTGGCTGGGGTGCTGCACCAAGTCTTTTGGTTTCGGGTCCCTTCCTGCCCAGCTCCCCTGCTCATCCCAACCTGTGCCTGGCATGGAGCCACTCACACAGAGCTCTGTGCTGGTTTGGCTTTGGAATTTGCCGTGCATGGCCATGACACCCGAAGGACTCCACACTTCTGTGCACAGACTTTAGCAGCCCTTTTTAACAACCTAGCACTACCTAGAGAGTGGCAAGGGTCTGGGAGCTGCTCCTATTCTCCCCAGAAGGACATACATACCTGTCAGGTCCTGTTGGTCAGTGCTGGAATGGTGGGTCTCTGCTCCCAAGGAAGGAGCAGCCAGCAGGTGGATGGGCCCAGAGGAGACAATCTTATTGTAGTCATCCACCAGTGCCCTCTTGTTCTTCAGGTGCCTTGGGCATTGCTGTCAACAGGGCCAAGGGAAGGGTGATAGAACCAGAGGACAGGGGAAAAGCCTGCTCAAAGGGCAAGGGCCATCCTGGAGGTCTCCTGCTGGCAGAGACCCTACTGGGGCCGCAGCCTGGGAGCAGTCAGGACCCCAGAGCATGAGAAGAACCAGGTCCTAAAGAACCTTAGCCCATTCCTCCCCAAATCCTGGCATCGACTTCTCCTCCTGCAAATACCCCATAGCCAGAGGGAAGAGGGAAAGGAGCTCTCCGTTGGGTTCAAGCCCTTGTGCCTTTGGTTCAGGGCACTGGGGTGAGCTCCTGATGTTTGTTGTGTGAGGCACCCAGAACCAGAGCAGAGCCCCTACTGCAAGGAGCATGCCTTCCCCAGCACCACACCTGGCCAGGTGATGGTGCAGAACAGCAAGGGCTCACCTTGGCACAGGGCTCTGGACCGTTGGGGAGACAGAGCCGGACACGGCAGTGCAGGAACACCTCGGGGTAACCAACAAACCGGAACATCTGGAAGCTGAACTTGGCGGTGCTGCTCTCTCCAATGGCATTCAGGTAGGTCACTGTCTTATCATGGGGACACCTGGGACATGACAGCTGGGTCAGTGAGTGCCAAATGAGGGGAAGCATCCCAGCCTGGAACACCAGGTCCCACAAAGACCAGGTGCAGCCCCTAGGCTTTGCTGAACAGGCTTATTTCTTCCTCAGTGCCGGTGGGGATGCCTTTCCTTGGAATCTGTGTTGTGCCCAGCTCAGGGAGCAGCTGCTAGCAGCCCAGAGGCTGGCTTATGTCTTGCTCTGTGGGGCCACAGCTGCTCTGCAGGGGTGGAGTGAGCCTGGCTGTGGTTCCCACTTCCCAGATAGACACGTTTCTGGCTTTAGCTTGGCTGCACCCACCTCTAAGGCAGGATTTTCATGGAGACATCTGCATATCCCAGCAGAGTCTCCCCTCTCCTCCTCTTGCCCTTTGCCTCCCTAGCTGGCCAGGAGCAACACCAGAAGGAAGGCAGCACTGCTGGCAGCAGAGCAGGAGAGGGGACTCAGTTCAGAGTTTTTTGGAGGCTCATTGTGGGGCTGTTCTGGCTGTTTGATGATGGTGTCCCCCACAGGTTCCACCTATGAGCAATGATGGTGTCATTGCTCATTGCTCCCGTCCTTAGCACCCAGGAAAGAGATGTGACTGTGCTTGTGGTGCAAGGAGACCGGGTGTGCTGGGGGCTCTCCACTCACCCCTGCTCAATGAGCTTGTGCTGCACACTCTGGAAGGGATCCATGCTTGGGGTGGCCCAGCAGTCCAAAATGCTCAGCAGGAAGTACTTGAGCTGGTGCTGTCCTTCTATCTTCAGCAGGACATAGAGTGTGTCCGTGACGGGGACGGCCACAGCTGGCAGGTGATAAGGCTGGAGGTAGGAGGGGGACTTGTACAGTCTCATGCTGACGTTGAAGTGTCCTTCCCTGACCACAGACTGCACCAGCCTGGGAGCAGTGATGAAGAGAAGAGAGGAGAGCAGAGGATGAGGGCTCCCAAACAGAATGAGAAAGCAGGAAGGATGTAGCACAAGTCAGGCCGTTGATGCAGGTGCTCTGACTCTGGATGTGCCTCTGTTCCCAGGTGGAGCCTCGGGAGAGCCAGGCCCTGAGCTGCCTTCTGTGCCATGTGTGGACAGAAGCAAAGAGCTGCAGTGGTTCCCATTGACCCGCTGGCCAGTGAGGGCTACAAGAAAGGCAATCCTAACCCTGCACCTCCATGGGAGCCTGGTGGGGGCCTCTTCCAGTTCCCACCCTTCGTTTTTTGGATAGTTGGTTTCAAGCAGTGAGGACAGGAGAAAGGCAGATTGTGTGTGCCCCTCTTTGGCTCTGCCCCAGGCCCAAACCCAGTGTTGTAAAAACACACTGGGAAGAAAACTAGAGGCTAGGATGACAGACCAGCATGTCTGGCGTTGCTCTCAGGGCTCTCTAGGGGCTCCCCAGGGCCTTTGCAGTTCACCTCATTGAAGGGATCTGCTTTTCTGCGAGCTCAAAGACACCATGTCAGCAGCAAGGACAAATGGCACCACTCACTTGTCAACAGCAGTGAGAGCGAAGGGCAGCCTCACCACCTGCTCATAGGCGTAGATGCAGGAGAAATGCACTTCCAGCTGAAAACTCCGGGAGATCATGGCCCCGTGGGCTTCCTGCTCTGACTCAATGACATTGGAGTAGGAGACATGGGAATTGTTTTTCTGGAATGATACAGAAATCAAGTGTCCAGATTATGGCTAAATCCATACACAGAGATCCAAGCTCCAGCTCGGTGCAACTCAGCTGTAGCTGCTCCAGGCCTGGATATCTGCTGGGGTTTCAGCTCAAGCCTTGTGTCCGGGGGCTACTGGGAGCCACCAGCAGAGCAGGCAGGAGTCAGCACAGTGAGCACGGGTGAGGGCTCTTCTGCAAAATGCAGAGCTGGAGCAGCAGTTCCTCTGCACCCTTCCTGATCCATGAAGCAAGTGAGGGACCAAGGGGACGGGGCTGCAGAGCTCAGAGGGTGTGGCCACAAAGCTGAGGGCTGTTATCAGCTAGTGAAGCACACACTGAGACTTCCATGTTCTGCTAAATCAGGCAAAATGTGCTGCCAGCACAGCAGCAGAGGCTTCTGACATCCCCAGGGAAGCCTTTCAAAGGGAAGGAGAACTTTACAACACCTAGATAAAAAAGGAAAAGCCTTTGAGGCTTCCCTTTGCTGTCCCCACTTAGCATGTCTGCTCCTCTCACGGCTTTGGAGCTATGCAGAAAGTGTCTGCTGGATCCTTACCTGGATTATCGACCCACACGCAGTGTGGTTTTCACCAGTGAGAGTGGCTGAAAAAAACAGCTCACCCTCTTCTTCCTTTTCTGAGACCTTGCACTCTTGGTTCTTCAAGTGGACAAGCTCCCGTGGGATTTTCAAGAGTTCAAACACCTCCTTCCTCACCATCATCTTCATATACTCCTCCTCACAGGCCAGCTTCAGTACCACATCTGGGGGAAAAAGCCATCTGCAATAGCAATAAGGAAGAGGCCTGAAGGAGCCCTATGTCAGCTGTGGGATGGCACAGTCCCACTGAGCTCAGCAGACCCTCATCCCAGCCTCAGTGGAGGCTGCTGGTAGGGCTCTTCAGAGACACTGGGCAAAAGACAGACCTTTGGGAACATGCAGAAGTTAATGTGGGTCTGGTATTT